GTAAGAAATAAAATGGATTTATTTCCTTACTCCTACTCCTTACTCCAGCTTACTCCATGTATTGTAGACCAGCCTTTCCACTTCTTACTCCTACTTCAGCGCTGACGCTTACTCTCGGCGAATTAGAGCGCAGTGCTATACATTTTTTTACAAATTGTGCCTTTAGCTTGCACACTGATAAGTAAAGGCCGCGAAACTTACTATCGAGAGGCTCCTTACGCGAACGACGTGGCGAGTTGCCGCTCGTGGAAAAGTTGCGGGTCTCGTGTACAATTTCATGTCTCGGGGATAGTTTTCCCACGACATATATATCAACGCTCTTCCGCGAACGCTTGTTCATGGATGTCCGTTGACCGAACATCGCAGATGCGTCACCCCGGAGCTGACCTTCCGCGCGCAGGATGTCACGCGTCCCCCCCTCGGTCCGAGATTTCGTTATTTATTCGCGCTTCATTTTTATCTCCCACACACGCCGTGGATCGATAAGATAACGCGCGCGACGAGACGGATTATACGCTCTCGCGCGAAATCCGGTGACATTAAGCTCCCGCGCGCTTGTCTATGTCGACTGCATGCAGCAACGCGAGGGGGTGTCATCGGTATTTGTAAACCGTTGTTGACGTCCTCTGTGCAAATATCGAAATTTGGTATTTCGGAGATGACGGATACAATTCGCGTTAGCTGTGCCGCGTGGACGTGTATCGCATCTCGTATACGCTACCCGATAGACTTGCGCGTCTCTGTCATTTGACTCCGAAAAGAGTATCTTTATCAATATATTATCTGTGCGTGTAACTTGTACGAGTATTTAAAGGCTCGCGAACGTAATATTGGCTATGGAGGGCTTTCGAGCGGACAAAAGCCTCGTTCGAAAATGTCTCTGAAAAGATACGGCTGCGAAGAAGGTACTCGACTCAATATAATAATTGCGCTACCATTTATCAAGTGGATTATGGCAATTTAGAAATGCACGCCAAGGCAACGGGTTAAATTAATGAGAGGACAGAATTGAAAAATTGACATTGCGTTAATTTTCAAATTTACGGAATAAAATGCGTTACGTCGCGAAAAGTAGCGCGCTGAAATTACTTGTAAAAATATCTCGATCAGTATCGCTTCTGTCCACTCGATAACAGACGTATCGGGTCATTTCGTATTTGTTCTACCTTTAGTTTCTGTTTTCTCGAGCATCGACTCAATGCCCGCTGATATATCAAAAGAGGTTCATTCGCCGGTAAAAGTCATAACAGTCGCTGTCTGGGAAACCTGAAATCGATTCCCCTGCGGGTATTCACCCCTGCAATATGCAGGTGCGGTATAGACCGTGGCGAGCGCACCGCCTGAAATTATTGGATGTTATATCTCAAAGAAAAAGACAAATTCCTTCTGCTTTTTTAACGTGGAATAACGAACAAAAAAACGGACGTGTTGAAATATCGATAGCTGCGTACTATTAATATTGACTCGTTCCAACTATCGCAAAAATATTTCAATATGTATTTTAAAAGCGTACGCCTGTGAAGATCTCCGGAACAGAATTTAATCTACGGATTAAGGTAGTTATTTCGTAAAATCATTTATGTGAGAGTTGTTTCAAATTTTTACAGCTTATTCTTTACGTTAACACGTGCAAAATAAGACTAATTAAATTAAAATTGACCGTCTCAAAGTTCTAGAAAAACAATGTTAAAGTTTGCTACGTTGCACGAACTATTACGTGGAAGACACGTTAAAAATATTATTACACGTGAAATATTATTTACATATATTATTATGTGGTAAAATATTAATATTTGCGTTTGCAAACGATGGCACATTTTAGTTTTTTTAAGGTTAACGGTGAGCGAGATTCGTATGAGAAACAAATATGTTATAAAGTAAAACAACGAATGACTGTACTGGGGGAAAAAATAAAAATTATTGACCGTTCCGTTTCAACAATATAAACAGTTAAAACTGAAAAATGGGGAGAATTATGTAATAGACACCAGTGTAGTGTAAGAGATGTGGCAACGGCGCCTCAAACTGTAATCTTTCGAATCTATTTTATATTATGTATTAATCGTAAGTGCATTCTTTAGAACAATATCGCATCAAGATGTATCATTGTAATAATTGAGTGCTGGTTCCTGTGCGGAAGAAACTTTTGGCCATTACTGTCGCGAAACAACTACCTTAATTCGCCACTTGGACGGACAATAGTCGAGCGTATCGTTCGTTAGTTTCAAAATTTTTGTGTATACCGTTGGTTACGTACAGTCGAACGTAAGAACGCATTGTAACGTTACGTAACGGACGAAATCTCCGAAAGAGAGGAAATTCGTTAGAGAAAATTAATAGGGAAAGTCTATTGTTCGGAAACTTACAGCGCGAATTACAATACCGTTCGGAAATTCCTTTCTTCACAGCCGTCTTTACGTAATAAACGATATTCGGTAAACAAAGAGACGTAATTTTGCAACAGAATAAACAAAGTTATCTCGATCAATCTACGTTGACGGCGAACAGAATATGACCGACATCGAAATTCGAGCTGAATAAGTTCCAGCAGAAGGGCAAGTACAATGCATACGGATATTCCGCAACTTTATTTAATATACCGTCGAGCGACGAGTGTAATCATTACTGTAACGCGGGCGCGACATTATGTCAATCAGAACTTTCCATTGTTAGATTGTTTTGATTGTTAGATCGCCGCGGTATGCGATGCTAACAATAAGTGTTGGGTGTGCAGGACCAATTTAGTACGGCCATGACTGTCCGGACGTATTAAAGTGGCGAAACCCCCAGGTGCGCACGTCGATCCATTAGAAACTTTGGTAAATCCGCGAGCAAACTTTGACCATTGTCCATTTAATCACCCAAAAATCGCCAGAGAATCGGGGAACGTGCGACTCGCGGGACGGTGGCTTCGCGTTCTCAAGAACCGCCGTAAAAATATTTCTCGAAAGAATCCTCCATAATATTCAAACTCGCCGGCGGTTACAAATAAAAGGGATATAAAGGGGCTCTTTACGATTCTTACTAACACGTGAGAAAAGCGCTTCTGGCGTTCCGTAGGGTGCGATTATGTACTTAAGGCATAGAACGAGGGATAAAATCTGTCAAGAATAAAACGCTCGCATAAAAATGACGATATTATTGCTGATTTATATTATCAGGTCTCTTTATAGCGAACGGCTTCGCGCGAATACATCGTCTCCGAGAAAAGTGAACGAGTCAAAAATAGCAATTTTACAGGAGAACGATTTTAAACTTTTAATCTGCGCGCAGTATACAGCCACAACTACTGTTCCACTAAATTGTTTTTACCCCTTTCCCTCTTCACAGTTCTCTCTCTCTCTCCACATCTTTCCTTCGCCGTCGCTATTTTTAAACGAAATACGGTCTTCGCACGCTGCTCCTTTTTTTCGAAAGAAATTTTTGTAACTGCACTTGTGACGCTTCTCTCGGAAAAAAAGGCGCGCACGTCATTTTCAAGTAGATTAATTATAAAGACGTAAAAACTGATATTTTTAACCTGCGCCACTTTTCCCGTGCGCAAAGACGATACGTGTGTTATCCAATAAGAAAATCACTCGAGATAATATCGAGTGGTTAAGACTACAATGTACGCTTTATCATATAGTCTACCGCATCGCCTCTCGCCAAGCTAGATGTCACTAGCCTGCACTCCTAATGGCTCAAGGCACATATCACGTGTTGAAAAAATATTATATCTTACGTATATGCAGAGTATGTATACCGTTCCATTATGCGTCCAATTAAGTATTCAGAGTATATAAAATTTCCGAGCTCGCAAACAACATCGGATTTACATTTTAACAAAATATTTAATTAAAGAATTCGTTATTGCCCACCCGCTGTTTTACATATGAAAAATCAATTCTGGATTAATGGAATAATTAAGGGAATGTTTACGAAAGGCGTATCTCAAATATTATTCAACGATATCGTCTGCAGGTTCCGCGGCAGCTCCGTCGCGGGCTCCAAGGCTCAAAGACGCCTCTATCGATCGGACGTTTGCGCTTTTATTTGACGCTGGCAACGAAACGAATTATCCTCCCCGTCGCCGACAATCGTTTGATCGAGCCTCGGCGATGGCTCACGCTCGTCAATGTGTACAGGATGGCGTTTCCCAGCGTCCTCCCCGGCGGCTGATCGCGCACCGCATACGGATAACGGATGATGAGGCCGAGGGCACACGCTAATTCAAACGCCCTTTGTCTCGGCGGGTGTTGTTTCAGGTTTCGTCCCGACGGCGATCGGCCGCGACGTGCACGCCGGCGGCTTTGACGTCGAGCGGGTTGTGGCCGCGGAGACGAATCCTCACGCCGGTCGGCGATTATTGATTTTCGACTTTCGAGGTTTCTGGAGCAACCCCCGACGCAGCCGTGACGCAGGCGTCGACGCCGACGCAGCATGGCGGAACCAGCCGCCGCTCGCTGGCTGGACCATCGTCCGGGTCTTTCGGCGACCGCCGCGTAGGCCCCGCGTGCGAATCGCGCGAAGGCAATCTCGCGCGAAGATGTGAGCCGCCCACTTGTCGGATCGTCGTTGCGTAGTTTAGTCTCACGACGAGGCCCAGACCCCTCGGAGATGAACGCGAACGTCGCTATCACGTGCTTCCTGCTTGTCACACTGATCGCCCTTGCGAGCGGTAAGTGCGGAATAAAAATGTAATTGTGCGATGTAACGTGAGTTCTCTTCCATCCCGATTCAAATTGGCGAGATCGTAATGCGCGAGAGCATATCTGGGGATAAACTATTGCTCAATTCTTTTGGTGCAACGCTACAACGGAACGTCGTCCGTCTTTAAGGTTTTTGTGAGCGAAAGATATTCGATTGTAAATAAGGGAGCATTTTTTTTAAGTCGGATCAATGCGCTTAGAAGGCGGCCTTTTTACCCCCAAGAATTACGCACTCAGTGTCAGAGTACGCATATAAATACACGATATAAAAGACAATCGATAAACAACTTATCTTTATGGCATAATTTTATCCCCGATGATCTACGAATGCAAAAAAATGTGACGGGTTGACGAAAGATAAATTCATTTAACACAGTCTGTCGTTCCCCCCCCCTTTTTTAATTTTACTTCTCAATACGTGTCTCGACACGTAATATTTTTGGAGCCCGAGAACATTCGATTTTCGCCAAAATCGGCCGGTGCTACAAGCTTGTAATATAATTTACTCGTCGACTGCGTTTATGTATACGTAATGCTGAGAACGTTTATGATAACACAGGTCAGCTAATGTCAAAAGAGCATCGGACCCACGCAGCTTCCGAAAGAGCCAACGACTTGTGGTGTTATCAGTGCTTCACTATGGAGCACGGTGAGAAATGTATCAATCTCACTGGCAATACTGGCAATACCAGTACCTTCATGCACAAATGCACGGACGACAGGAGAATCTGCATGGTAAGACGAGATAGGTTTGTACCCTTCGTTTCTACACAACGCGACCAGCGTCGAGAAATAACGCGATGCCTCTACTCTGGGATAAAAAAAAGACAGTAACCCACAATTAGTAATCGAATTATTTGGGTTGTTCGTAACTTCACTCTGGCAAAAATTCTGGACGTTCCTTTGTAGTTAAGCAACTTAACATTTCGGTCAGTGCCTCTTGAGTGAAAATTATCTTTGCGTTACTGAATATCGACAGAACTAATTGAGAGAATTGATTAGTATTATTTTAAAATCGTGGGTACTCTGGGGGAAAAAAGACAGTTTTGCAACTCATTTCGGGGCCCACAATTAGTAATCGAATTATTTGGATTGTTCGTCTACTCTGGGAAAAATTTTGACTGTTTGGTTTTTGTAGCTAAGCAACTTAACATTACAGATAAATACAGCATAGCTAAATAGATTTGTTCGACAAGTTATAGCTTCAGCTACTTGCTTAATTGCTGGCTGATGCTTGTCCTTATTTTCTGTACTCCGAGAGATTCTGTCGGAAAGGTTAACACGATTTATGAGCAATTCGATATTATATTTTAAATACTTGCTCATAAATGTCCTACAAATGACTTAAACCTTCTTTTTCTAACCACCCAACCACTTCCTCGTCCATTATTTGAGTCAGGATACCACAGAGCAATTACAAACACTACTCGAAACGTGACGAAACAAGCATTGACACGTACCGAGACGCATATCGAGTTCCACCACTAAAGTTGTTGCGAATTTAAGAGTACATTCTTAATTTAAGAAGATATTCTAAACAACATGATGTTAAGAAGGAAATACTCTTCCTCGTTAAGTAAAGCTATTAAGAGTATTTGTGAAATATACATTTCAAGAATACAATTTTTTCGGTGTACGGAATACAATACTGCGTAGAAACGTAATTGACCTGCTTTCAGAAAATTGAAATAGTTGCGCCGCGAGCTCGTGGAAGCGAAATTTTAACGAACGCGCGCGTCCGCGGCGCGCGCGTTTAATGGGGACTTGTTGGGACAATTTAAACCATGATACTTGTTTATCTGGGCGAATTAATATCTAATTGAACACACGCATACGCGTCGGGCTGACGAGCCAGCGTCTATCCATGCGGTTAAATTATTACGCGCGTGAGATACTTCGAATCGCAGTTGTCTATTTATCAGCCACCCACCTGGTTGAAATGCCGGGTGGTAGATATTTCAGAGAGGATTTTACCCACAATTTCCTCCGATGTCTAACGTGACAAAGTACTTTGGAAAAAAAAGGCAGTTAGTAGTCCACTTTCGGGCCCACAATTAGTAATCGAATTATTTGGATTAGTCGTCTAATCTGGGAAAAATTTTGACCGTTTTGTTTCTGTAGTTAAGCAACTTAACATTTCGGCCGCTTAAGCGAAAATTATCTCTGCGTTACTGAATATCGACAGATCTAATTGAGAGAATTGATTAGTATTACTTTGAGAAATCTTGGATATAGATAGTGAAATTCGTAAAAGATTAGAGTTATGAACAATCCAAATAATTCGATTACTACTTGTGGGCCCCAAAACGCCTGTTGCTAACTGTCTTTTTGTTCCCATAGTACGCAGCGCGGGAATAATATAGGAGAGTACCGTGATATCTCCGTAGAAACTGTTAACTTTTAACGGCAATGTGTGTTTAAAATCTTAACTTGGAAAATCATGAATAAATCTTCATCTATCAACATCCCCTCGCGTATACGTTACTCATATATGTATACGCGTTAAAAATGTTACAACCGACATATTTTCGCAACATCCGTTTTTTTTTTAGGAAATGCACACAATCACGTATACCTACAACATGTACGAACCCACAAAGTACATGGGACACTAGCTGTCGGCTTTCCTTTGTGACACAGATCCTCGCATGAAAATCCGCAGTCGAGTCCTTCCACGCGGAAATATCGCTGTGAAAGCTCTATACAATGATAAAACAGACAACTTTCTTTCCAAGTGTAATTACGAATATCTCGCCCAGCTATTCTTTTTCTGCGCACGGAGATCTCACGCGCCGAGAGAGTCCAAACGGAGGGACGCTCGGTAAAACTGTTCACACTTGATGCAATCGGCCGAACGATATGTGACGAGTCCCCGCGTGTTGCAGGTGAAGCGATTCTCCTACACCACCAGCACCGAGAACTCGACCTCCAGCCCGAAGACGTGGTCCCTCGAGAGGAACTGCACCAACAAATGCGAGCCCGGGTGCATCGTGATCGGCGAGCGCACCAAGCTCTACGCCTGCACCGCCTGTTGCGAGACTAATCTATGCAACAACGGTACCGGTACTGCCAACGACCTAACGATCAAAGAAATCGACCTCCTGCTGGCCCTCGTGCTCCAAGCTATATTGACCGTTATCATGTACCCGTCCTGACAGTGTCAATAAAGCCTCTGATCACAATACATCCCCTCGACCATCGCGTCCGCCCGACGGCGCTCCGACTCGCCCGCATCTCACAGTCTACGTGAAAATCTAAAGGACCGTCTACGTTGGAAGTAAGCAGTAAGAAGGAAGAAAACCGCAACCTTTACTTGCCAGTGTAGAAGCTATAAAGTACAGGCGTGATTTTTTTTAAATATTTAAAGCACCGGTCGAACTGCGCTCTAATTCGCCGAGAGTAAGCGTCAGAGCTCAAGTAGGAGTAAGAAATGAAAATAATTCATTTCTTTACTCCTACTCTTACTTCTTACGCCAGGCTTACTTCATCTACTGTAGACGATCCTTAATGCTTCGCCGACGAGAGGCGGAAAACTACGCTCTGCATGTACGCGTGTAGCGTAGATTATATCTGTTCATATTGTAAAACGTTCCCTTTATGACCTTTTCGAAAGTTTGTAAATACATATTTTAAAAGATCAAGATTACAATGGCTTTTTGAAAGCATTTTCACTCGTTACATTTGTCCGCTGCAGACCAGAGAGCCCAGCATTAGCCGCAATCGGCCAAGTGTCAGCGTACTCTCGAGTTCTTTGAACCGACGAAGCGCATACCCGAGTCGAAATTTTGGTACTACCTACTTAATTGATTTATACACTTACATAGACCAGCAATAACCTACTTTGATGACATTCTATTTTTTTACTCCTCCCTTGAATCTTTAATTCCAAAAATTTACTTTAGCTCCCACTTAAAATGACCTACTTTAATGCTAAATTGGCAAAAGTAGAAATTTCCGACACCGGGAGTTTTTAAGTGAGAGTAAATTTTGTACTTGCACTTCGACCTCTTTTACTGTCTTAGGTCTTACTATAATAATAGAATCAAAGGTTCAACGTAGGGTCAAAATTTCGACTCGGATAGTTCTTAATGGTATTCTATCATTTTTATTATTTTTCTAACGCGACTGCAGATTGTTCAAATCGAAGCAACGCCGAGCGTAAAGCAAGATTGATTCTCGAGAAATTAATTGCGCCTGAACTTTTACGACTGTTTTACGTCGGCGCCTTACAAAAATATGATAAGTCGCTTTCATCGTTTGCCAATTAAACTGCAATTTTACATTTCCCGTTCCGCGATTGAATTAAATTCAAATTCCTACCACCATGGAGAACTGGGACAAGATGGAGGACGTTCTGTTATTTAAATTTACCGACCGCGTGCCGTTTGAGAAAATGGCGTCATCTAGCATCGATATTCTATATTGAAACTGATGGGACTGCCGCAGTATCGACCGCATGTAACTCGGCGAGATTAAAAATGCGAATGGAATGCCTCTTTTAATTCCTCAAATAAGTAAACGACGTAAAAGACGAGCGAAGTTAGAAAAGAAATCGATGGATGTTTCGTTGGAAAAAGAAATAACTTCCCGAGAAAATATTTGTGCCACGTAGCCGACGGGTCCGCTATCGGTTATTGGTCACTGCATCAATTAGCAGTTGTGTACAATTTTATATAACATGTTAATTAATATATTTTATAGGTATAACGTAATAAACAAAATAACAAAGTTTATCAACAACCGGCTGAAAGGGCAGTTCAACTCGTATTAATTCAAAATATATTTTTGTACGTTTCTATATTTATAACGTATTTATATATTTTTATTTGTCGCGCAAGTCCGCGTTGTATTGAAAGCGTTTCCAAGCCAGTTCCCACGAGACATAGTCAACGCGCTTTTCTCGCGCAGATACGGTAACTGCGTAAACCTAATCTCATGCCTGATTAGCGGTGACGCCGCTCGAACCGGTTAATTTCGTAAGGCTCGGTCTCGGCGATTTGCAATTCTCCCGAGAGGATCGCGAGAAGTCGACGGTCTCTTCGCCGCCGCCAGCAACACCTACTAACAGAACCACTAACAGCAGTCATATTCGTCGCTGACGCACTACTCCAGTTGTATCACCTTTTCCTCGTCCTTGTTCCCCTTCCACGGCGTCGGCGGCGGCGGCGGCAATCACCTTCGCATGTCCGCGGCGTTCTCCGCTATTCCGCAGCCGCGACGCGTATCTTCGCCGCATCCGCGAAGGATCAAGCCGCGGGGATTTATTGCCCGCAACAATCGCACCGCTCGTGACGTTAGAGCGCATTCTGCGCGTCGACGCGCTTCCCCGGGCGGATACCGAGAAACGTACGACACCAGGAGGAAACTCTTTGCACAATCGGCACGCACACGTCGGCATGACTGATGCGCGCCGTGTCACATAAATATACGAAAAATCCCTTTGTGTCTCGCGATTAATTGCTCGTAAAATCGATAGCGCGCCGACCCCGCCGTTCCCCGCCGCGCGACGTCGCGACTATTCCGCACTTCGCAAACAGGTCGCATGGAAGGCGGCTAAAATGCAATTATGCCCGACTGACGCGCTGTAATTTGAATAATATTTATTTCGGATCGATCTAGACACCCGGATGCGAAATACCTCCCGCACTACGCCCGTTCATTAAAATATCTTTGTCATTTATTTAGGACTTTATTAGAGTTTTATTAAAAATCAATTTTTAATAAAAATCTAATAAAGTATTATGTAAAGCCATTATTAACTCGATTTTCGCGCGGCTTTATTGGATTTTAAATCTTCAAAATCCGATCAATTTAAAAAATATAATTAATTTACCTCAAAATTGACAGGACGGGCTATTTCGCTCGATTAAAGAGAAATTTCAATTAAAATTTTTGAAGATGACGAAGAGACTCGTAATTTTCAATCTAGAGGGGGATTTTTCATCCTTTGCCTTGACAATCTTTTGTCCGTGTCTGTCTTCAACCGATTGTAAGCAAAACTATCTTGCTAAACATAATGGATATAAATTAATTATAATGGCTTTACATAAAAGGGAATATATTTTTCTGTACGATTGAATAAAGTACGTGTTGAAGAGAAGTTTTTTAATTCAGCAACGACTCCCCTTCAACCGTTTGTAAAACGTGCATTACGCAACGCGTCGATCGGAAGATTTCCAGACTCTCGTCTCCGCGAGATTCACCGGTTTTGCTGTAATAGTTAGGTGCGAAAATTGACCGCACGTACCGTCCGCGGCTACAGCCGAAGGCAAAACGCGAGTGTCGGTATTCGAGCCTGTCTAACCACCGCGATAAGCGTTCGCACGTCTGACGTGGCCGCGTCATCCAGAGAAATGGAAGAAGAACCAGCGAACGTTGCGGTAACGCGCTGGCAAGACGCCGGGTCCCCGATCGTTTCCGACTTGTCAAACGTCGAGAAGACACGTCCGCGGACGCGGTCGGTCAGTGCGAGGAGGTGAAGCGTCGGATGTGCCAGCATGCACGTACGATTGTGCGCCGTGACTTTCCTGCTGCGCTTGGTGGTCTCGATCGCGGCCTCTCCGACCGCGGAGGTCGTGCACCAACCGGGCGCGCTGAGCAAGTGCTGCGTCGCCGGTTACGCGTTCAACGAGGAACTCGAGTGCGTCGATGCGGAGCCGGGCAGGCTCAACTACACGCACGATGCCTGGCGAACGCTCTCGACTCGACGTCCCCAGCGGATCGTCACGATGATCGCGTCCGTGCGGGGCTTGAGCTGCCGCGACGACGCGGATGAGAAAAGCGACCCCCCGCGTATCCGTTCCGTTTTCCGCTCGCCGGGGGACTACTGCATCGAAAACATGATCAACGGCACGACGGTGCTGATCAAGTGCGCGACGGTCGACTCCGCGGTGACCCTGGACAGAGAGAACTCGACGGAAACGACGGTGGTGACGAAAACTACGACGATCATCACCGTGACGACCATCACCACCGTCACCACCGTCAGCGTGACGAACGTATCGTCGACGGAGAACGAGACCGAAGTCGTTCGCCACTGCAACAGTCTGGGATCGGTGTTCTTCTGGGGCGCGTATACCTACATGGGCACCAACTTGGCCCACGTTGTCATGTCCACGATCGTGGTCGTGGTGTACCTGTCCGTCCCGGAGCTCGGCAGGAGCATCTACAATCGCGCGGTGCTCCGTCACAACGGCTGCCTGCTGCTGCAGGGCTGCCTGCTGACGCTCCTCGCCTTCTGCAACCTGTGCGGCGTCCCGATAAGCGACGAGCTCGAGACGCTCCTGTGGATACTGATGCAGTACTTCACGAACGCCACGGTGTTCTGGCTCAACGTGATCTGCTTCGACATGGCCCTGTCCATCACGCGATTCCGCTGGATGCTGGGCTCCGGCCAGCAGACCAGTCGGGAGGAGAACAGGCGGCTGCTGCTGTACGGCGCGTTCGCGTGGGGCAGCGCCTTCCTACCCGCCGTCGTCGCCGTCATCTTGGAATTTTGCCCCGGCATCCCGGAGGACTTCCCGCTCAAGCCGAATTACCGCCGTTACCACGGCGGGCCAAACTACTTGGTGAACGTATACTTCTTCGGCATACCGCTGCTGACGCTCTTCTTGAACAATGTGCTGTTCGTCTTCACCACGTACAAGATCATACGGATACGGCGGAGTACGGAGATAGCGACGAGGAATCACACCAACGCGCTCAGGAAGAAGTACTTCCTCTTCTTGCAGCTGTACCTGCTGATGGGCGCGCCGTGGTTTTTCGGCCTGCTCTTCGCTTGCATGAACAAGCTCGTGGTGATGAAGATATGCCGGCTGATATGGCCGATTCTGTGGCTCCTGATGCTCGCTTCCCACAAGAAACTACGGCGGAAGCTCGCCGACAAATTGCGGTGCGTCAAGAAGAAGCCCGAGATCACCGCGATCAGCTCGTAGACGGGTCCAGTGACTCCGCGCCGATCTAGAATCGCCGGCTCGGCCGACGAAAAATTAACGCGCGGGCGCGCATGACGGATCGAATTCTTATCGGTGGCGGCCGCAGCGTGAACAATCGCCGGATATGCGCCTTCTATTATCATACGATATGTTGCGTAATTTCGCGGCGACAACAGTTTCTCCCCCCCCTCGTCGTTGCATCGCGCGCGCTCACGAGCGTCTACATTATTTTCTTGCGCAATCCAGAGATGAACCCCCGTCTCCGAGCAAGAGGAGCAAAAAAAATTCAACGGCGTCGCCGACGCCGACGCCGCAATATCCGATGCCGCGAACTGAGCGATGAGTCGCAGAAAAAGCCGGGTTTGCGGCGTCGCGTCGCCCGCGCGGCGGGATAATAAAGGAGTCGGAGCGCGACGTCGTTTCCTGCCGGGGCATTTTAATTACCGTATTCGCGACGCGCCATCACTCTCGCCCCCTCGCATTGTTTTTTTTCCTTCCGTTTTACAACGTGTAGAATATTAACCTGTTAGTGTACAATGCGCGAGCGATATACGTCAGGCGCGGGCGCTCTTCACGGGCGATCTTCGGCACCTCGGGAAGACGCGGTAAGAACCGCGATTCTCTCCTCTCGCGCGAGAGCCTCCTTGTGTGCTAACAGGTTGAAATATAACTCTAAAGCCCGGTCTACAATGAGGCAGAAGTCAGCAGTCAAAAATCATAAGCCGTAAGTTGGAAATCATAAAGAAAAATGTTGACGATGAATCACAAGTCACTATACTCTAGCCAATCGGAGACGAGGAAATTGATAGGCGATCATTCGCCTCGACTAGCTCGATGAGTTCCAAATCATCGATATTCTCGTTGGATGCAGCGATTTCCATCCCAAGGAAAATGAAAAGTCAAGACGATGTCAATTTGATGTCATATTGACCAAATTTATGCCATATTTTGGTCAATATGATCATCAAATTGACGTCATCTTGACTTTTCAGTTTTCCTTGGGATCGTTAAACAAGTTTGGTTAAACACCGTTTTGTTGAACAACACTTAAAAAATACCTAGGGTCAAGGTTCCCAGCTAACACCAAAGTAACAATTACATAACATCAATGCAAATGTAATATAACAGGCATGTGTTATATTACATTTATAATGATGTTATGTAACTGTTACTTTGGTGTTTGCTGGGTTATGTTCTGAAATGTTTCTTTGTAGAAAACTTTTACTTAAAAGATTACAACCCAAGGAAAAATGAAAAGTCACGATGATTCGGAGGATTCTAAGGATTGGGATTGAGATTAGATTGAAAATTGACCAATTAGAGTAAAAGTGACTAAACTTGAGATCAGTAAACTTGATTGATCAAATTTCAATCTAATCCCAATCCCAATCCGTAGTTTGATACGGGCTTAAGGGCCTGCAATGGCTGTCTTATACCTTAAGACAATAAAACATTTACTCTTAGATCTCACTTGATAAGGACCTAAACCAAAGGTCAAAACGTTGTGAAAGCGTATTTAATAAATGTGGCCAGCTGAAGTCGATTGAAACTTGAAATTTTACTTAAGACAATTTATATTTTAAGCCTTTCTCTTGAAGTAACGCAACAACTGTCTTACGTCTTAAAAGTGCGCTAGTTGAGCAACTTAACATTTCGGTTATCTTTGCGTTGCTGAATATCGACAGAACTAATTGAGAGAATTGATCGGTATTACTTAAAAATCTTGAATATAGATGGAACAGCCAAGTGCAATTTTTAGTTACGCGGGGTAAAATTCGTGAAAGACAGAGTCACGAACAAATCCAAACAATTGGATTACTAATTGCGGGCCCCAAAATAGGTTGCTGTGCTTTTCTTTCCCAGAGCAGTAATAGACGGGGGGAGACTCTCGTGCGAGTGTCGCGTGTGTTGCAGAAATTCTGATATCTAGTCAAATACGGAAGAGTAAACAAGTCAATTAACAGCAAGTAGGACTTGCTGGAGGAAATTATCTCGAATCACGATCCTCTCGATAGCGCAATAACCATCAGGTGGAATCGATAACGGCCTACGGGACCTTATTTATTAAAGACATATTGATTTAATGTCCTCGTCCGCGGCGCGACATGCTAAAAAGAAGAGAAGGAGACTCATCGTAGTTCTCTTAAGTCAATAACGACGCCGGGATCAGATATTCCCGAGAAAGGATAGCTATCGCGCCGCGTGTGTAATATTATATATTATACCGTACTGCGGGAGAGATACACAAAGATTAATATGACAACGAGCTCGTGCGACTCGGTAATCAGTAATTAAAATACGGCGGTCGATATAAATACGACTTGTTACATACCGACTCGCGATACTTTGTTACAGATACGTCAAATCGAATATTTTTCGCGGGGAAACCATTCGATCGGCACCGCTCTATTATTTTAGAATGCAAAAGCACGATCTGGAAATAAATTTATATGCAAAATTGTGGAGAGAAATATTTGACGCGAACTCAGGGAATATATCGGGACGGAAATACTCGCGGCCGACATATAACGAAAATGTAAACAATTTATAAATGCGATTAAAGAGCGTACGTTTCAACTGATAATGTTTTTTCTTTACCCATGCACATGTACCCTCTCGCGAAAATCAAGGAAAAAAAAAGATTTAACATCTCGTGCGCGAGATATCATTATCGACTTGTTACTTTAATCGCATGGATCAGACTGTATTAATAGAATGTCATCTTGAGCTAAGATAGAACTTAACTTTTTATCCCTATTGTTGGCGTTTCACGCGTATTTTTTAACGTGTCTACACAGCTATTCATCTTGGGTTTTCCACATAAAGCTGTTAACTAGAAAGGCTTATAGTTAGCTAATCTTCGCAAGTATGCATGGACATGACGTGAGTCATCGCCTGGGTATCGCTGTCATAGATTGCATCAATATTTATGCCGCGCGTTGCGTCGTGCGCGCGCGCGCGTGTGTGTGTGTGCCTGTGTGCGCGCGCAGATTCGTGTGTGTTAAAACAAAAGCTATTTCGTATGCGTCAAATTTTTTTGTCGGTCAAGTTACCCCTGCGGGCCTTGTCGGGTCGCGTCCGCGCGATTTGCGCATGAACGAGTGCAAAAAAAAAGTATCACACACGGAGTAATAATTTGAAATTTGACATACGGGAGATACTACGTGCGACAAGCACGCTTCGTTAGCGGGGCTCCCTTGTCAAGAGATATTTCGGTCGTCATTATGTCCGACCGGCCTTTTAGAGCCCGAAACGCGTTTCATCCCGCGGATCCGCCGCACGGCATGCAAAATTACGACGTGGGCGCTCTAACGAGAGATCAGAAGCAGGCTTTGAACGAGATGAAGATGACCGCTCGGAGGGAAAACGAAATTTATCTTAAATCGCACCCGGAAGTCAGAGGCCTGATCGCTATCTTAATGAGGTAAACTCGCACTCGTGCCTTGATACGTTTAATTGCTTTAGAAAAAGAAGCGTGTCCCTCTCTTCGTTTAACCCTTTGAAGTACGGTGGTAACCCACGTTACCACCTCAACGTCTTCACTTTTTGGCAATTTAATTTCTACCTGACGCATTTAGGTCGAGTGCTTTGCATTTTTGGGGCATCTTAGCGATAAGAGAACATTATTTTCATTGCAAGAAAGTGACCGCAAAGTAACGTTACGTTACTCTTTGAGTGACTGTAACTATAACGCGTTACTTTTCGGAATTGGCAATTTGTAACTGTAACTAGTTACATTTTTAGCGAAAAAAACAGTAACTGTAACTAGATACTTTAATAAAGTAACTTTCCCAACCATGTGAAAACCTGAAAACTGATTCGTAATTAGCGGCCCCAAAAACCGTTGTATACAAAGTTTCACACAAAAAAATGGTTCGATAGAAAAATGTATGCTTCAAAGGGTTACATGCGTATTTAAACTTTATTCTAATTACTTCATCGCGCTTATTTTATCGAGGTTATTTATACGTCATCGCCGTACGGGGCTCGCGTTTAATTCGCGCCTTTTCTTTAATAATCATTTTCTGAAAAGTGCGAAACGCCAATTATAATATTTAACGCGCGACGGGACTATCGTCCGAGATTAATGATACGTCATTAAAATCGCTCTCGCAGGCACGTCCTATCGAAGCAGCCGCTCATCGATATTCCCGAGGTTGTAGGGACATTTTTCAACAGGCCGCGTCATGAAATTGTTGCTGACCTTTTGGAACACTTGTCGTCCGCCGACGAGCGACCGGGCACAACGGGCGATCTTCGACGGGAAGTATTTCGAGCGGCCAGCGCTGAGACTCGCGGCAGCAACGACTCGAGCCCCAGCTCCGACTCGTGCGACTGCAAGTCGCGTTCGCGCGACTCGTAATTTTTAACGACAGTCCAAATATAGTCCACTTACACGATTAAATCCGTTCGATCTTTGGGGAATTTTTGTAGAGGAGAGAGAGATGTGACTTAGATGAGTCCTATTAATTATTGCGATACTATCGATCTTATTAATTATTACGACCAACGGTCGCGCGAGTTTTCGACAGATTTAAAGCCAAACTGCAGCTCCGCTTCTTTAGGAGGCTGTCCCGATTGTGCACTCGACCGAGCGCTCTTTTTATGGATGTAAAATCAAATTAGTTTCATTTCTACAGCGGGACAGCACACGCTCGTGTACTTGATAGAACGAACGCTCTTTTTATACGTTTAAAATCAAATTAGTTCAGTTCCCCCAGTAGAAACATATATCCGGTTGTGTACTTGATAGAACGCTCTATAAATACCTGCCTGTCATTAATCTGCCACATATTGGAATCCGAGCCTTATTCTCTCTAATGTTTACTTGGCGTATATACGTCAATATGTGATTACACGGGCGCGCCATACAGTTACGTATTAACCGCGGCGGCCGGTCCCCGCGTGCACGTTATTGCCTTATTAATCCGTGCCTTATATCCCACTCGTTAAACGGTCGGACAAGCGACAGTGCGAAAAACCATTATTTGTAATTAATGCGCGCGACACGGGGAAAGTAACGACTCGCGTATCGATTAGATAAAAATGGAGTGCGAAAATGCGGTTACGCCCGAGTTACCTGACAATATTCAGCGACAATATTTATCTGGTCATACCTAACGACAGGCGGTTATCTTGCGCGAGAGTAATACGATGGGCGGTTAGGACCGGTTGCAGCGCGCGCGCGCGCGCGCGATGCCGATCGGCGCTAACCTCGATTAATTAGATTTCGTTACTTCATCTACGGGGTGTACCCATAGACACAGCGAGAATAGACTGCGCCTTCTCTGCCCCATACGTGTGAAAACACGTACAAATCATAGTATAACTAGTGTGCCCACCAGGGTCGGGAAGTAACTCGTTACTTGTAACGAAGTTACAGTTACTTTTTTTTTTAACTCCGTCACATCCCATTGTATACACGACTTACGTTTCTCTCTGCCTTGCCCTACGTCTACGACTGAGACAGTCTTAAGCGTTTACGGATTGTTCTCTGCCATCAGCGTAACTGTAACGTGTTACTTTTCACAATTGGTAACTTGTAACTGTGACTAGTCACATTGTTAGCGAGGAAACTGTTAACGTAACTGGATACTTTTATAGAGCAACTTTCCCAAACCTGATGCCCACACTCTCTGTCGGCCCTTTGATCTCTTCGGTTTCGGTCACGTGGTATTCCGCCATTACTTTGGTGCGTGAAACCCTTTAACACCGTCACACTACCACGTACACAGCATCCGTCTCATTGGCCACAACCAAAATAATGGCGGATGCGCAGAAAGGATCGGCGCAAAACAAAAGTAATGAGCACGCTAGTTATACTATGTATTGTATGTACAAACTTTAGAACGAGATAGCTTCAGCCTATTCAATGGGACGCTCAGTCTATATTTGCCACGTCTATGATTTCAACGATCCCCAATCCCGTGCCAATTTTTTCTGCGACTCGAGAGCCCCGTGGCCGCGGATTGGTTCTCTCGAAACCGCGGCGAGGCCGAGCGCGGGGCGTTTTCCGGCGAAGCGGAAATGACGGGAAACGAGACGTCGAGATGTTCCGATCGGATATTAATAGGCCGCGAATAAAATTATATCCTGAAATTTTCCCCGAGAAAGGGACTCGACTGCGGGTCTCGATCTCTGGCGGAGG